TATAGTATTTTTATTATAATAATGATATATGATATTATAAATATCAAAAATTATAATATCTATTACTAATATATTAATTTTTGATATTTATGGCTATCTTGATAGATTTAATAATATATTTTATTAATAGCAAATATGTGATTAATTAAATAATTTTCATTAATAACATAAATCATCTTTATATTTTTAGCATTCATAAAATGCCAAAAAAATGTTAGACAACTCATCCTGGCACAAAAAAGTATGGCACTAAATCTAATTACACCAATTCTACCCTTCAAGAGGCTTTAGCTAAAATTAAATTAAAAAAAATGTCGATTCGTGAATCTTCTAAAATTTATAAATTTCCAAAAGCAACATTATTTTATAAGCTAAAAAGTAAACACTGTAAATCAGTAGGACGCCCTATTGCCCTTAGCATTGATGAGGAACTTTGTTTTGAAAATCACTTACTATATTTAAGTGACAAAGGTATACCAATAGGAATTAATGATTTTAAAAGTATTGTCAAAATCTATCTGGATGATAGTGGAAAAAATATACAACAATTTAAAGATAACCGACCAGGTTGGGAGTGGTGTAAACTTTATCTTGACAGGCATCCATCAAAAAAAAAAAAATCTCATTGTATTTCAAGGAAATGTGTACAGATTAATTATTGTCAAATAAAATTATTTTTTCAAAATCTAAAGAAGGAATTAAATGGAGTAACGCCAGATAACATTTACAATATGAATGAAATAGGGTTTCATGATGACCCTGGAAAAAAAAAACTTATTTTTCGTCGATCCTCTCGCCATCCAGAACTTACAAGAAACACAACAAAAACTTGTTACACTGTTGTTTTTTGTGGAAATGCCTCAGGAAAACTAATTCCACCATTTTTCATTGTTAAAGGAAAACACAGTTGGTCTGACTGGCTTTTCAACGCACCAGAAGGATCAAGAATGGCAACTTCTTGCAGTGGCTGGATGGAAATTCAAATATTTGAAGAGTGGCTGTTAAATCACTTTGTTCCAAATATTATAAGGAAGGTTAAAAAATTCTAATTTGCGATAATTTAAGTGCTCATATATCTTTAAAAGCCTTAAATATATGTGAAAAGCATAATATAACATTTATATGTTTGGTACCCAATTCCACACACCTTTTACAACCTTTAGATGTCGGATATTTCTCGAGTTTAAAAGCTAATTGGAGGTCAGTTCTTAATCAATGGCGTAAAACATCCAGAGGAAAAAAGGTTAATAACCTGCCAAAAAATTTGTTTACGCAGCTCATTAAATCTACTCTTAATGTTGGTAAAGAAAATCTAGAACATAATCTCCAAGCAGGATTTAAGGCTACTGGCATATATCCATTTGTACCAGAACATGTTCTCTCCAAATTACCCAGTTTTACAAATATAGATATTCAACTCAATATTGGAGAATCGTTTAGGAATTATGTTGATGATATTCATCTTAATTATGAAGTAAGCAAAAAATTTAAGTTACCAATAACAGCAGGGGGAAAAGTGTATCAGCCACTGAGGTAGAAGCATACTATAAGGAAAGAGACAATAAAAAAAAAAAGTCAAGATAATATTCGAGCAAAGTAAAGAGGAAGACCATTTGGATCAAATAATATGATTATGAAAATAAACAAAAAACTTAATATTTTACAAAGTTCAAGCATCGTAAATGTTAATCAAGTTATTGAAGACAATGAACAAGTTTTACCTGTATCTCAAAATGATGCAGTTTTTTCATTGGAGAAAATAAACAATCACTATTTACATGTTTTCCTTGATCATGATTATTCTGTAAAAGAGTTAGTTGTAACTCAAGACTAAAAGAATGAAACACTATAATATTTAGTTTTATAGTCAATGGTGTTTATTTGTGGAGAATTATATAAAAATAATGTCTTAATTATTTTTTCTTTTATAACCTTAAAAATTATTTTGTGAATATTTTATTGAAAAACTTGTTTGTTTATTCTCGAAATATTTTATTGAAAAACTTGTTTGTTTATTCTCGAAATAGTTTAACTAGATTTTTTAAAAAATTAATTTAAACTAATACAAAGAAATTTAAACAACTTTTTAGATTTAAAAGATTAAAATTGACATTCAGTTTAATAGTGTTCAAAGTTACCCGAAATGCGAGGGTAACTTTGAACGCCTACTTGAACATTGTTTTTTTACATAATATCTAGCAAATTTAAAAAAATGATAACAAACTAGAAAAAAGAGATCATCAGAACACCCTTTATGTAAAAATATTTGTTATCTAGTTAGTAAAACAATTTTTGTAGAGATAAACCTAGCGCAAACCGTTCAAAGTTACCCGTAATGACTGTAATACAATGAAACTTAAAATTTGTTGATGAATACAAGTCTAGTTGAGAATAGTAGAAAAAAATATTTTATCAATTTGTTGCCCCTCACATTTGGGGTGGTGAAGGGGGGGGGGGGAATAAAGTTAAAGGGCTTTTTCGTTCCCAGCCTCCAATTATCTCAATGATTGTAACTTGCTCCATGTCTGGAAGTTAGCTATCTCAAACACCAAAATATCCTTGATCTGTCACTAATAAGGGACCATGCTGGTTGCTAAGGCTGTTGCTAGAAATTAGAAAACTATGCACACTTTCTAATGCCAAGTTAGACTAATTTAGATGTTGTTTTGTCTAAATTTTATTAATTTTTCAGACTCAGCAATGTCAAATTGACCGGAAAAGTTCATAACTAAAAGTTTGAAAATTTGAATTTTTCAGGTATGTTAACAGTGTAACAGCTTTGTCATAAATGTTTTCATAAATTGGTGTACAATAAATCAAAATAATAAAGAGATTTATAAAGTATTTTTTGTTTTTTAATTTTATTTAGGTGCCCCAAGAAGTCCTTACGGACTTATCACAGAGCACCACGGATGAGCATTTAATTGGTAGTTTACGCCATCTTCCTAAGCGGCTTCAGGAAGGTGGTGTAATATTTTAATACGCAAATTAGCCAGGAGGTGGGGGGGGGGGGTTTGAACCACGGATCCTTTGATTCGGAGGCAAGTACGCTACCACTGCGCCACGGCTGTCTTCAGAGAGAGAGAAAAAAAAAGTTCATTTTTATTGAGATCTAGCTTATCTATATTAATTTTTAATGTTAAAATCTGTTTTTATCATGAGCAATTTATATAACAGGTTTGTTAATATACAATAAATCTTTTTAAAAGACATAACACCAATATAACAGGTAAAAAGATTAGCTTTTAACTGATTGCGCAACTTTTTATCAAATTTTTTTTATCAAGAGTATCTTCAGTGAAATTTTTATAAGGAATATCCTCAGTGAACATATATATATATATATATATATATATATATATATATATATATATATATATATATATATATATATATATATATATATATATATATAACCTATTTCATTACATTGATTCTTGTTTTGAAAGTTTTAACCTGCATAATATTTATATTTAAAATTATTTCTTTGTTTCCTATTTTTCCAATTAGGTTAAAATTGAAATACTTACTGTATTAGGCATCCTATACTTATCAATTATTTAAAATTTAAAAAACATTAAAAATGAGACTATTCTTAGAGGCAGGTAACAGTTTTAATGAAAAAAGAGCTAGTTTGTTAATAGAGTAAGATGGTCACCAAAGAAAAAATTTCCCCTAAAACTGATAAATACGATAAAGTACGCATCAAAAAAATAAAAATGTTTAGTTAAATTGTCGTCTAAATTTCCATTGTATTGCAATAATTGAATTATTATTCCGTGTATACATGAACACGATTACAGTACGTTGTTGAGGAGTGTAATTATCCATTGTAACATTTTTTTGAGTTTACTATCTGGAAAAAAAATGGAGAAACGATTTATTTAGAAAGTGACTTTTGTGAAATGTATAACATATTTACATCACAAATGTAATCTAATGGGTTACATCACACATATAATCACATCACACATGTAATCATACCACACATGTAATCTAATGGTTACTTCACACATATAATTTAATATTTTTATCACACATATAATCTAATGTTTTACAACACACATGTAATCACATCAAAAAGTTTAAATCAAACATATAATCTAATGTTCACATCACACATATAATCTAATGTTTACATCACACATGTAATCTAATCTTTTACAATACACATGTAATCACATCACACGTGTAATCACACCATACATGTAATCACATCACACATGTAATCAAATGTTTTGCAGCTTTTAAATTGCAAAACAATTAAGGCTAATTTAAACAAGTATGTGTTCTTTTAGAATCAATTTAATTTTATTTTTTCAAAAAAAAAAAAGTTCATTGAAATTAAATAATATAAATACCATAAATAATTAATATATTTAAACAATTTGACAAAGCAAAATTTTTCATACGCTTACAAATAGAATAGATTTTTTTTCAAATGCTATAGTCAAACATTGAAATTTTTTTCATATTTTTTTTACTAAAATTGTAAATTTATAAGTAAACTTTTGATGTCAAGACTTTGTTAAAGCATAATTCTTTGTATCAAAAATCTCAAAAAATTTTAATCCTTTGAATCAAAAACCTAAAAAAAAACTTTTAAAAGTTTTTTTAATAATATTTGTGTTACGTCTATGGTTATTGTTGTATGTTATCACTAGTCAATAGTTATCACTAGTTATTCGTAATATTCGCATATCACTAGTCTATATTCGCAAACTTAATTATAAACTTATGTTTAGTTTTATGTACCTAGTTTTCAAACCATGTGTTACCAGTTACACATTAGCACATTTACTTTAGTTTGCGTTTATTGAAGAGAGATAGTTGAAACGATTTAAAGTGTTCTTGTGCTCAAATAGATAAGTTTTTTTGTTATAGAATATTTATTACACTAAAGTGCTAAAAATTAAAACTCTATAAAATTACAGTTTATTTTTTTTTAATTATTTTAAATTTATTAAAAACCTTTTAACTAAAATTTAAAAAAATGCATGTTCATATTAAATTATATTTAAAAACTTTAAATACTTGTATTATTTATATATTTTATTTTAAATATTATTTATTCTGCAGATATCGGCAGTTAATTAACGTATCCTTTTTTTGATTGTTAGCATCTATGTTAGATATCTCTTATCATTGATAGCATTGATAGCATCGGAAATCGGAATAAAACATCAGTTGTTGTTTACGACACCCATGCTCAGTCGAAATAAAATAAGTTTCATATGCATAAGTTTGATAAATATTCATACAAATGCGAAGCCTTCATTTCCATGACGTACCGCAATTAAAAGATTCTTACGAAGTATCTTTTCGCTTGAGTAATCAGGTAACCGCAACGTATTGAAACAAGTTGAAGCTTCCGGGAGCTTCACATATATAAAAATATTACAAAAAAAGTAAATATATTGCAAATAAAGTAAATATATCACAACATCATACACAAATAAATCGAAAATTTCTTACTTTATCTTTGCCATAATATTTTTGAATAGTGAACCAATTTGACCCACCGAGACCCTGTAATACAATGTTAACCGTCAACAAAAAAATGTTAAACAAAATTTATTTAAGTTGCATTTGAAGTAAAAATAATTAAACAATCAAATCTAAAAGGATCAAATTCAAAAAAACTAAAAAGCTAAAGAAATAAAAAAAGTTCAATTCAGTGACGCCACTATAACATGAGGCCCGTGACAAATTTATTGAATAGGGCTCCCCAGGAAAAGCTGTCACGTAATTTTGATAAATCACTTAAAAAGTTACCTAATAGTATAACTAAGGTTCATTTTTGTTAAGTATCTGAAAAATTTAAATTTTAAAAGCATATACATTACATATTTTTAGCAAAATAACATATTTAATTGTTATAAGATATTGATAATTTTTTTTAGCTGAGTTTTCTGGGTGCGTATTCACCAAACTTTCGTAAATCTTGCGTAGCTCAACTAAGGTTACGGAGACCGTACGTTTAGCGTTATTTTCGTAACTATTTGGTATTCACTATGGCCATCTATACTAACAGGCCTCGAAAACGCGTAAATCGGAGCCTGGGGCTGGGGGCCAATAAAAAACAACTACTAAGAAAAAGTTAAGAGTAGCATGAACATTAGCTTGTAAAAAAGTGTTTCCATTTAGTACGAGTGAACTATAGCTTATCTATTCATCTTACTTAATAGTTAAAACCTATTTTTTCATAACAAGCTTCCTACGAAGATAAAAAAACATTCTTTAGTTATAAGACTTTGAATATAAAAACAAAACTTTCCTAAGGTATAAGATGCAAAATCTTTCACAAAATCACACAATCAGAGGATACAAAAAAAATATTTTATAGTATATTTGCTGAAGTTTAAAAAAAACCATAAACTGAACATATTTAGTAACAACAAAATTTGTAACAAAGTTTTTAAAATATTTCATATATAGATTAAAATTCTAAATTTTTTTACCAAAATCACTGAACAAACAGAAAATATAAGTAACTTAGAGTTGTAGAGTTTTTATTAGTAAAAAAACACACTCACAATAGGTTTATACTCTAGCTCAGGCAAATAGTCAAATATATCAATAGCATTACTGCTGAGAAAATATCTACATTTCTGGCAGTTATGTCCACTTTCTGCAGATAAAAAATCAATGTCTATACCGATATCGAGACTTAGTAATCAATGTCTATACCGATATCGAGACTTAGTCGAGACAATGTCTATACCGATATCGAGACTTGGGCACATGTTTTATCAATGTTGCACATTGATAAAACATGTGCCTCCAGGTCCTTGTCGGAGTTTTCCAAACACTTTTTCTCATGGGTCAGTTGTTAAATTTTCCAGTATTACATGATTAAAAGAATTCTGCAACAAAAACATTGGTTACTAATCCGCGATACATATGAGCTAAGGTTGCACCTGTATCTCTGGTGAAATGATATTGTCTGCTACCTTGTTTGCTAGTCATTTGTTCTGCCATTGTTGCAAGACTGAGTAAAAATGATAGTCTAACATCTTCTAAAGTTGATATAACTGCTTTATCTGGATCTTTATATCGAATATCAGCATACAGTCCTTTTGCATTAACAATTTTCAAGAACTTAACAAATACTTCAATAAAAGTTATGGTGTCATCTACTTCTTTTTTATTAATGTTAGATTTTAAAGCAGTTATAGTTTCATCACAAAAGACTTGTCGACAAGTAGACACCTTTTGTCTTTCAATAGGTTTTGGTGCAACAGACACACTTGTAAGTTTAGACAATTTTACAATATTATTTTCTTCGAGTCTGAACAAACTTAAGATATTAGACCAACATGCATATTTAGTTTCCCCATTCATAACGTAACTTTTGGCTTTTTTCCGTAATCCAGTTATTACGAACAGATTTAAGTAGATGCACAAAGTCATATAATAAAAACATATTGTCTTTGGTCAACTATGGATCAACATATTCAAAAATTTTAAATAGTGCTTGATATACACGATTATTATCACATATTATGGCAACTGGTATCCCTCCAGTGCTCTTTATTTCCTCTAAAAGAAATTGAGTTTGTTCAAACAGAAATTTAGAATCAAGCTCACAAACAGGTAAAATTGATTGACAATAAAATTGACAAAGATATTGTGGTCCTCCATAAAGAGAAACTAACATAAAACTTAAAACAGTAGTTGTTAAAGAGTCTAGTTTGTTTACTGTTTTTCCAAAGATGGTAAGCATGGTAAGTAATAGATGATTTTATGTATACTTCGTCAATCAATAGCACTTTTTTTGCATTTCATTTTCAAGTTTAGAAAAAACTCTGTATCAACCATTGCAGAACCCAGTTTTGAAGTTAGCTTTGTTAGCAGAGAAATACTTGGAAGTTCATAATCTTCCCTTAATCTTCCATATAATGATCTTGAAATTGCTAAGTATTCAAATGCTCGTACAATAATTTCTGTGATGCATTTTTTTTCCAAATGTAATAGAACTCATATCACAGATGTGTTGCAAAAGATTTACTATTTTATTGGGTTTTGGTAAGTTATTTTAAAAATTAATAGCTTTTTGTAATTTTGAACAAGAATTGATTATGAAAATACTGTTTTTAGATAAAGATTCAATTTTATGTTTAATCCCACAAAACTACCCCTCAAAAGTAAGATCTTTTTTGATTTTAAGCATAAATTTGACAATTAATCAATTTTCTTTAAAATCTGGATGACCAGTAACTGTTCACCAGCAAAATAACAAGTTACTGTACCAAAATCAATTTCTTTATTTTGAAACTTCTGTTGGAATGAGCTAAAGAATGTAATTTTATCAGCAGCTAAAAATATATTAAGTTCATCGGGCATAATGTTACGATGCTTTAAAAGTTGTTCTTAATGGAGGTGGAAAAATAGGTATTAAACTAGGTTTGATACATGTAAAAACTGATGGAGGATCACGAGGCCTTTTATGGTCAAATTTGGTAACTGTTGGATATCCAGATGGAAAGTGCCTTTTGCAAACAACTGTATCTGGACTGTCAGGTATATTGTCTCGTGCTATAGCATTCATCCAAGGAGTATATTCTTCTTTTTTATAAGGAAGCCAGAAAACTTTTTCTTTATTTTCCTTATTTTAATTACCATTACAGTTCGTCACAACATTTTTTACACATTTTTTGTATCTATAAACTAGATAATTGTTGTATTTTAATTAAAAATTAGTAAAGATGACGCTTACAATAATTAAAAAAAATAATTTTAGAATATTGTTGGCCCCAGCCCCAGGCCTCTATATACGCGTTTACAAGTTCTGTTAGTAAAGACAGCTATGGTATTCACCAATTTTTGTATGGTATTCACCAAGTTTTGTAGCATTTCTTTAAAGTTAGGGTTACGCACGAGTTGCGTTGAACTTACGCAAAAACTTAGGCAAGTTGATTTTTTTTTTAATGAACCAAGTTTTCATAATTTTTTAAAACAAACTTTTCTAATATTGAATTCATATAATTTCTAATAAATTTAAATTAGGGAATATTACTAATTAATTATTTTTACAGCCTAATAAAATGACAATAATAATTTTATAAAACTCTGCTATAAAAACTAAATACTTTTTATTGAATATTTATTTAGTAAAAAATATTATCATAAAAATCAGGAAAATAATTTTGAGTAGAAAAGAGGAAGAGAGGGGTTCATTAATCTTTATTCAAATTTATTAATCTACAAATATATTTTCTCTGGCGTAGTTGGCTGATTAAATGACGTAATTATGACTGTTAACAAGCAAAAAGGAAAACTGCATTAGTATTATATTCAAATGTCTTTTTTAATTCAGAATTAAAAAAAATAAAAATCTTTATTTAGGATACTTTTTGACTACATCTAAGAAAAAGGAAGATTTTTTAAGTAGTCGATTAATTAACTCTTTTAAACTTCATTTGTAACAGTCAATTAATAACAAGCATATTAAACAATAAATGATCAAAAGATTTTTTTTTTTTACTAATTTAATTTCTAATTGTAGTAATTAAAAACTAGTAATTTTTATAAATTACTCTTTGAAAACTCCCAGTTAATTTGATAAAAGCCTTATTGATATTAGCATTTTTGCTTCTGAAGAAATTGGGTTGCTTCACAACATGATTGGTGACAAATCATTGTTAATGTGTTGACAATACTCATTTATTTTTATACAAAACGAAATTTTTGAACACATTCTACATCAGAGTAATCATTTAAAGCAACATATTGAGCCAAATGCCAGATTTGATCTTGACCAAATTAACTAAATTTCCATTTAAACCAAAACTAAATAAACTAAAACTAAAGCTATTAAAACAACTAAATGAAATATGTTATACTCGTTATACTTAATGAGTACCTTTTAACAAAAAACTGTGAAATAGAATATTTATAAAGATATAGTTGTTTTTTTGTTAATATATAAAGTGTTATGTTAATAATTATAAAGATATAGTTGCTTTTTTGTTATGAAATAATTCAATAATTATATATATGTCACCAAAATCACAACTGCATCATAAAAATATAGCATATTTTAAAATATATAATACATACTTTATATTATAAATAATATATAATATACAATAATATCTTATTTTATATAACAAAGTTACTATTATTTTATATAAAAAAATGTTATGTTATATTATCAATATAATAACATCTTCATATATATAAATTAAATACATTAAGTTCAACTAATTATAAATATAACATCTTAATGGTTTGCATTAAGATATTATCTATATATTGCTAATATATTTTAATTTAAATATATTAGGATTCTTTTTTATGCTGTTATATTATTATTATAAGCTAATATTTTTGGTAATATAATATTACTAATATTATACAAAAATATATCAATAGTATTATGATATTATAATACAAGATGTTTTATTACTATAACTTATAGTAGTATAACATCTAAATATTAAGATGTTATTAAGTTAAATTAGTTGTTAAATTATTATGATGCATTTTTATTTGTGTTAATATCTATGATTGATATCTTTATTACAATATATATACAATTTATATACATAACTTATATATATTATAATTTATAATAATATTCTATATCAATCTGACAATATATGGAATCATAATAATTTTCTAATATTTAGTGATTTTAACATTACGCCAAAGTTTAGGCAGCTCATAGCTAATGTAACTTTTCTTACTTAAATTGAGCTGAATAAGTTTTGAAAAAGTTTGGCAAATACCATTAAAGTTTGCTGAATACGCTCCCTGTTTTGCTAAAGTAATTACAACGTCATTAAAATTTAAAGACTGGGCCAAGTTTAAAAATATAATAATTAAGTAGTCTGTCTTGTTTTATTAAGTTTTTTAAAAAAGATTTTTAATAACTTTAGTTGTGAAAATGATCTTTCTCTGCCTAAAACATTGACTCCCACAGGACCCCATTTTGCCAACCCCGCCATCCTATAGTTATGTCACTGGTTCAATTGAATAATAAAAACTACACTGCAGCTTTAGTAATGTGTACCTTGAAGTTAGAAAATCCACCTACAGGAACACAAGGCGATGCGGTACAAAATTTTAGTAACAAAGTCTTTTCTTCTTCTATCATATCTTCCACTGCTTTCCAAAACCATTTTATGACAGTAGACTGTTCATTCAAATCTTTATACTATATTATACTTTAATACATACACAATTGTCATTAAAAATACATATATTTTTGTCAATTAAATAATACACCCAAAAAAAAAAAATAATTACAAAAACAACATAATAAAAGTCTACCAATGTATGCTTTTTCCAGTCTTGAACATCAATCTTTGTCACTCCATTTAACAACAAAGAAAATTCGTCCACATTAAAGATACTTATCACATCTGCAGGAATATGCTATGCACACAGAAATATATATATATATATATATATATATATATATATATATATATATATATATATATATATATATATATATATATATATATATATATCTGTGTGAATGTGTTTGTGTGTGTGTGTGTGTGTGTGTGTGTCTGTTGTGTGTGTGTGTGTGTGTGTGTGTGTGTGTGTGTGTGTGTGTGTGTGTGTGTGTGTGTGTGTGTGTGTGTGTGTGTGTGTGTGTGTGTGTGTGTGTGTGTGTGTGTGTAGAGAGAGTGAACTTACTGAAAAAAAGCCTTGCTTGAAAACATCAATTTCCTTTTTAATAGATGTAAACATTTTAAATTTAGCAACACGATCCAAGTATTCATCCTGAAAATGCAAACATAATTAAATATACAATACAATCCTTAGATTATTAATATAAATGTTTCTATTCAGCCTCAGTCATTTCAAATTTTTATTTTACCAAGTATACTTAAAATCAATTTATGTTAAAGTTGAGTTTTTTTTAGTCATTTCCCAAAATTGTTGACCTTATTTTATTTAAAATGAAATGATACATTTTTATTTAAAATTATTAAAGCATGTTAGTCGTGATACTAGAAATTTATAATAAAGTAAATTTCAATGTCATACTGACCAAATCTAAATTCACTTTTTCTAATTCTTACTTTCTCTTGCAACTCTAGATAAAAAGTAAAACTAGATAAACTTCAAAAACAGTTAATTTTTTATTAAACAAGTATTCTTTCTAATTCTATCTATTATCCATCTTAAATTTTTATTCATTTCAATGCTGGTTTATTAATACTTTATTAATAGTTTCTTTTTTAAATTTTTTTTCTAATACTCTCCTCGTACTCATATACCTTAATTTACCTTATATATTCAATGCTGATTTATTACTATTACTTAAAAAAGGACAAGTACTATTAATACTTGTCCTTTTTTTAATTTTTTTTCTCAAATTAATATTGTTCATTACATTACTACTCTATTTCAAACACTCACTATTATAATTATTGCTATTTTTACAAATTATTATTAATGTTATTACTACTACTAATAAAAATGTTATTTTTATCTTAATTGTGACTATTATTATTATTTTTTTTATTATTACTACTAAGATGATTATATTAATAACTGGAGTTTTTATTTTTACTTTCAATACTGCAAATATTATTAACTATTATATTATTTAATATATTGTTACTGTATATTATTATAATCTACTTTTCCTCTATTGTCATATCTAGGTATATAATAATATTATTTGTTAAATAAGTATATAAAAATAAATAAAATTTTAGATATATCAAAATTATTTTATAATAATTACATAAAATTTTCTGTTTAAGTATTGCACTGCTTTTGTTTTTTTAGTTTTTCATCGTGGCGTTTATTTATAATTAGTACTTGTAAATATATGTTGATGCTGTATGGAATGTAAAATCTATTTCAGAATACACTTGATTTGATTTTATTTGATAAATATTCCAAATATAAAAAAACTATTAAAAGAAACCAAAAATATCTGAGGGGTTATTGACTTTCAAACTTTTAAAAAAATAAAAAAATATTATAAAGTTTTAACATATTTAAAAAAAATTAAGAACACCTAGTGTTAAGAAACTCAAACTGTTGCTGTAAAAAAGCAACACTACAAGCAGAGTACTGAACTAAAGTCTAAATATATATAAAAGAAATTTAATACAAATTTTTTTTTTTTTTTTCAAATTAAACTTTTTTTTTCCAGTTAATGTTTCCAGTTAGTGCTTCCGTCATAATTTCTTAACTTTAATTTCAAAAAAATATTTTTATGATTACTCTGTATTACTATGTTAAAATTTTTTTTATTTCAACATTTCATTAGAATTAAATCTGTTTTATTATTCTATTTTATTTTATTACTTTTTTTAAGACTACTCAAGAAATCAATTACTTTTAAATTTTAGGTTTACTTTTAAATAAAGTGTTTATTTTTTGTTTTTCAAATATAAAAAATTTCCCAGGTGTCAGAGTCATTGTTGATAAACTGCAACAACAAAAATTTTTAAATCAATTTAAGTTTTTTTTTTACCATCTTGGCTTCCAGCAAGGCTGCAAGCAACCACTATTAGAGTTGGAAGTTACTGGAAGAGAAAAGATGAAGATTGTAGAGCAAGATGACGATTGACAGACGACTTAAAAGATTGCAAATTATATGAATCAGGAAAGCAAGATGAAGGAATCGAATTCCAAAGAATTGATGTTTAAGAAAAAAAACTAGAGGAATAAGAGTTTTTAGAACATTTAGAAACAGTCATAAAAAAAAGATGAGACTTAATTGAATGACGAGTAACACGAGAATGAATTTTAGTAGATAGCACAAGAGACGCTAGCTCTTTAGAGCAGTGTCCATTATAGTATTTGTAGAAAAGAGAAAGAGAAGCAACATTACGACAATGTGATAATGGTTGGAGGTTTGCTATAAGAGCAGGTCCAACTATGTTTACAATGCGCTTTTGCACCTTATCTAAAAGAGAAAGAGCATCATTAGAAGATCTGCCTCAGATATGGCAACAGTATTCCATACAAGGCCGGATAAGAGATTTACAGAGAAAGAGAAAAGAATTCAGAGTTAGAAAGTGTTTAGCATGATAAAGAGATGCAACCTTAGCAGATGCTAATTTTGCAACAAATTTAATATATTGTTTCCAAGAAAGATCAGAAGTAAGAGTTAATCCTAGAAGATGATGGGTAGATGACTCATTGAGTACATTACCGTTCATGAATATAGGAAGATCTAAATTATTGTGAAAACAATTGGCTGGGTTTTATCTGAATTAAAGTTCACCAGCCACTGTGAGCCCCATGCTGTAGCAGAAGTGAGAACTTTTTCAAGCTCAAACGCCCCTCCAAGTAATCAGAGAGTGTTGGCTTTTTATGACAAGAATAAATGGTAGTATCATCAGCGAACAATGCTATCTTAGATCTGAGAATATAATGGAAGATCGTTAATGTAAATTAAAAAGAGTATAGGTTCAAAGATTCAACCTTGAGGAACTTCTGAAGTAACAGAATATGAAGAAGAATGCTGTCCATTGAGAACAACTTTTATACTACAATTGGAAAAAAAGGATTCAATAATCTTAAAGATGTTTCCAGATACACCGTAAGAAGAAAGCTTATGGAGAACACCAGCATGCCGAACTTTATCAAAAGCTTTAGAAATATCAAGAGCAATGGCCTTAACCTACCCACCTATATCTAATGCACAAAAACCTATTGGTTATTACTGTTAGCAAATCAGCTGTAGAACGAGAAGATTGAAATCCATATTGATGATCAGAAAGTTATTAGATTCAAGATGAGAAATTGTGTTTGTTAATTAAAGATTTAAAAACTTTGCTTATGATAGGAAGAAGACTAATGGAACGGTAGTTAGACGAATCAGATTGCTCTTCAGAATTTTTGAAAATAACAGATGCCGCTTTCCAGCAGGCTAGAAAAAAAGACTGATAAGCACTTGTTAAATAGTTTTGAAAGTATAGATGCCAGCTCCGGAAAACACTTCTTCAAGATTATAACAGGTATGTTGTCTGGACCACAAGCTGAAGAAGAGTCTAAGCAGAAAATCACTTTAGATACTGAAGCTGGAGTGATACGAATGTCAAGCAATGGATCAACCTGTTTGATGGCTAAATTAAGTAGAACGCAACTAGTGGAATCAAGATATGATATTGATGAAAAGTTCTTAGCAAACAATTCAGCTTTGTCTTTAGGTGAGGTAACAAAGTGAGCCATACAAGAGAGGTGGAATAACAGATTTTCCCTTATGAAGAAGAATGAGATAATCCAAGATAACAAATACAAATCCTAGATGATTGTGCAACAAATACAAATCATGTAAATATCAAATCATGTATATGTATTAAGGACAACAGTGCTACTGTTATCTTTAATATATTAGATCCAGCCAGTTAGATACTCGCTTGAAATAGCAAAATTATTAATCATATAAAACTAGTGAACCTGAGCAAACTCACATTGATGCTAACAAGTGTTAGACAAATTTGATACATTTATGCAGGGGCAATAACGATTAGCTATAAAAGATGATGTTTTAGACCATCCTACAGAAAAGATATTCAAAATGAATACACCGGGTGAGAAAAAAAAAGAAATTGCTTTTACTCAGTAATTGGTCAGCTTTACATGAATAAAAACTTTAGCAATTTTGATTAAGTTTTTATTCACGTAAAGCTGAGCAATTATTGAGTAAATTGCTTAACTTTATGTAAATAAAAATTTGTGCAAAACTGCTCAAGTTTTTATTCACGTAAAACTGACCAATTACTGAGTAAAAGCAATTGCTTTTTTTTTTCACCCGGTGTATTCATTTTGAATATCTTTTCTGTAGGATGGTCTAAAACATCATCTAGGTAAAAAAGTGAAGTAAGAAATTATATCATGTGCAAAGAAATCGAAGTATTATTCCATTATAGCTGACTGTACTCCAGACATTACTCATGTAGAGCAAATTTTCAATGACAATACGACTTGTTAATTTATCATCAGATGACAATAAAATATCAGTGATAAAACATTTTATAGAATTTTTAACTGTCAATGAATTGAAAGGTTAAAAACTGACTGGTTATGACATCAGGTCAAACACAAACACAAAAAGAAAAAATATTGGAGTTCAAAAGAGAATTCTGGACATAAATCCCTTAGCTGTTTATTTATTGTGTGCCTGTCATAGCTATAATCTCATACTATGCAATATAGTCTCATACATAGTTATAATATGTATGCTATATCTCACTATGCGTTGTGCTAAGTCATCTGTAAAATCAGTCGCTTTGTTTGAAGTATTTCAGGGTTGACATTGGTTTCAGCATCTGTTCATTAATGAAAATTATTAAATGATCTCACTATATACCATAAAAAAGATCACATTGGTAAGCAAGAACAAGTTGTGTTAAAGCAGTCCATTTAAAAATTAGTGCCATCCATGATATCGGGTGGACACAGAAAAATCCGATCAACTTTAAATTGAGATTTCTCTAAAACCATAAATGCTTTTTATTTCAATTTTTTTATTATTAAATGTGTTTACATAAACTAGAGTTTCAACTTAATTTTAAGGGGATTGATAGGTTGTTTGGCAAGAAATCGAATTTTATAGCGGATTGATTCACAGATTTTTTCTTTTTTCACCATATTGGTGGCATTAATCCAGTTTTTTTGGAAGTCCTTTTTATTATTTGTTACTCCACCTGTCTTACGAAGAACTCTTTTAACTATTGCCCAAAAATCTTCAATCTTGCGCTCAGGATGATTTGGAGGATTCGCGTCTTTAGGAACAATTTTCACATTATTGTCTTTGCACCACTGTAGAACTTTTTTAGAATAGTGAGAGGCAGCAAGATCGGGCCAAAAGAGACATCGGTATTTGTATTTTTTTATAAAAGACAAAAGTCTTTTTTGGAGGCATTCTTTGTTGTAGATTTTGGCAGTCAAGGTCTTTTTAGTGACAAAATAAGAGGACTGCATACCACAGCTACAAATTGCTTGCCACACAAGGAACTTGGATGCAAATTTTTCTCACCAAATATATTTAAATTGATCATCGACAGGTTTATCTTTGTTTTCATAGTAAAACTGTTGCAATAAGTTTCGTCATCTTCAATTATGCACATATTTTTATCCGCCATTATTTTAACCAACTTCTTTGCGTGTCAAATTCCTTTAATTTCACAATTTAAGCTTCTCTTAGGTGTATTTTTTTTATGAAATGCTTTAATTCCAGCATTTTAAAGTACTTTTTTGATATAAAAACGAGAAGTCTTGAATTTTCTTGCTAGATCTCGCTGTGACTGGTTTGGGTTTCTTGCTATGAACGTAAAATCGACTTTACCTTTTTGGATTTATGGAAAGTTTTTTTTCTTCCACTTCCAAGTTTTTTTTCGAAGTTTTGAGTAGTCTTGAACTTGTTTATAATATCTATGACTGTAAATTTTACATCGATAGTGAGTTGATGGATTTTTGCAAAAAAAATTCACAACTTTTTTACGCACCTCAACTTGTTTCCAAAACATTTTGCAAATCATTAATTTGTAAAGAAAAATTTATCAACACCATTTAAGTTAAGGAAGTAAGGTTTAATAAAAAAAAAAAATTAAATAAAAAACATTTTGATCAAGAGTTTGATATGTTTCTCTAGCATCAAGCTAGAGAAATTTGCCTGCAATAAGTCTGCAATAACTTTCCAACTTTAGAGTTGTTCTCTAAATGATAACTTTAGAGTTGTTCTCTAAATGATAACTTTAGAGTTGTTCTCTAAATGATAACTTTAGAGTTGTTCTCTAGTTGTGAAGTATTTTTAGACTCTAAAAATGTTGTGGAGTATAGTTATAGCAGTTTTTAGTAAAATAGGATTTAAATATTTTTATGCATTAATTTTATACATGAAAATTAAAACATGGTGTAAATTGATTCTATAAATATTTAAAGCTCTTGATACATGCAGAAGAGGTTTGCAAAAATCAGCTCTATTAGCTCTAAATGCAAATCAACATGCATGTTATTATAATTGGTACTTGCCCAAGCAATGCGAAAGTACAATAAGTAACCATTTATGAAATCAAATATAACATAATAAAAATGTTTTTGTGATTTAAAGTTAAGAAATGATTTAGCTTTATAAATTATTCTGAGATATATTTTTTAAAACTGATTAGGGGAAGGTGGGGCAAGATGGCAAAATTTTGAAAGGCCTGAGTTTTCACAAAACTATCAGTCATGAAGCAATAATACTTTGTCAGTATGTTTATGTTATCTTATTTATTTATTGCATGCATGAATTTTTAGTTTGCAATAAGAAAAAATTGAAATAAAAATAAAAAGTTCATAAATTTATCATTTAATCACATGACCAGAGACTTAAGCGATTTATACCTCCAATTTTATAAAATTTTAAAAACTACGAACTCTTCTAACTAAAGTAACACAAAATAAACACGTGTTGCAAAAAAATAATTCTGAAAAAGTTATACCTGAAAGACACCATCGATTATGAATAACCAAAACTGAGGAATTTTTTTTTAAGCTCAAAAAATAAACTTATGCATATAAAATTGTGTTAATATTTAAAAACCAAGTAGCATTTTAAAATACAAGATGTAAATATAGTTTTTTTTTCACCCATTTTTAAGTTTTTTTGTTGAGTTGTTATATGAAAAGCTATCTTGTCTCATTCGCCATCTTTCCCCGTTTTCCCCTATGAATATTCCATTTTCATCCAACTTCACACCTAAAAGGTTTACCAATCATTCCCTTTTAATAATAAAAAGTTTACCAATCATTCCCTTTTAATAATAAAAAGTTTACCAATCATTCCCTTTTAATAATAAAAAGTTTATCAATCATTCCCTTTTAATAATAAAAAGTTTACCAATCATTCCCTTTTAATAATAGTTTTATTAATAAGAATTAAAAATTTTAATGTGATGTCTTAACTATTAAAAATAAATTTCAATGTGATTGTCTTACCTAATTTACAAAAAATGTTAACTTAGTTTTGTCTGCATTTAAAGGACATTTGATACTTACTAAAGGCTCATTAACATTATCTAATGTTTATTAACAACATTATCTAATGTTTATCTAAATTTTTTTAATACCATTGTGTGAATTAAAAAAGATTGTTGTCATCTGCAATTAGAATTTTTTTTTTTCAGTTTTTAAGATAAATATAGATTATTAGTGTATAGAAGGAACAGTAATGAATAAAATAGCCTTATAATAATAATAATAATAATAATAATAATAATAATAATAATAATAATAGTAATAATAATAATAGCATTAGGAAACCTCACAAAATATAGAGTGTTTAACTGTTTCTTTTGAACCATAACATATGAACTGCTTTTGTTTGTTAGATTAGTTTAAGGTTGCGGTACAAAATGTTACAGTTTTCTATTTTAAAAATATATAAAATGTCCACCACCATGTTGAAAGAATTTTTTTCAGTATGTCTTTTTTTAAAATACAGTATTTTAGAATAAATAAAAAACTAAAAAAGATTAAAAAACAAACCTTATTACTATCAGTAATGAGCTTTTCCATATCGTCATCTAAAAATACCTCTTCGAGTTTTCCAGTCCAACAATTTTCATGTTCAACTGAAAAGCTTTCTTTCAACTCATCCAAACTATTATCTTTTATAGTCGAATAAAAAAAATGATCAAATGACTTTAAATCATTTATAAATCCTGAATCAACTTTTCCAAGAAGCTTTGATTTTTAAAAAAAGGCAAAATTAAAAACAATTAAAACACTTAACTTTAAAAATAAATTACTATATATATATATATATATATATATATATATATATATATATATATATATATATATATATATATATATATATATATATATATACATATATATATATATATATACATATATATATATATATATATATATATATATATATATATATATATATATATATATATATATATATATGTATATATATATATATATATATATATATATATATATATATATATATATATATATATATATATATATATGTATATATATATATATATATATATATATATATATATATATGTATATATATATATATATATATATATATATATATATATATATATATATATATATGTATATATATATATATATATATATATATATATATATATATATATATATATATATATATATACATATATATATATATATATATATATATATATAAATAATAAAAAAAATAATTATATAATCATAAAATGAGTTGCATAAAAGTTTAATTGAGTTAAGGTTTAGAAAACAAAAAATTAAAAAAAAATACTAATTTAATACTTATAGTGTCCTCCTTTATCTCGATAGCAAAGAAGAACTCATCTCTGCATAGATTCAACCAATTGATGGTTTACCAATTAAGTATCGATCCATGACCGAATATTTTCAATTGGATTAATATCTGGCGATCAAGGGCCCCAAGGCAACAAATTGATCTTCTTTGTTGTGTGTGCTGGAGCCCGGTCTTGCTGGAAGATGTATTGCTTGCTTCTGCCATACAATTGCCTTGTCAATGGAATCAAATGTGTTTCAAGTCTGCTTTTGTAGGTATATAGGTTGATATGGCCATTATACAGCTCACAAAAACCAAGGTCTTTGTGGGAAAAACATCCCCATATGCCTACTGAGTCTCCACCACCTTGTTGTTTTGCTTGTAAACAACGCTCGCAATGTTTCTCAGTAGCAAATTTTTTAACGTATATTCTTCATTTCACAACCTGAAAACTTGACTCATTGCTCTAAATCACTTTTGCCCAATCTTCAACTGCCCAATGCAAACGCTCTTTGCACCATTTTCGTCTTAAGAGTTGTGACAACCACTTTTATATGGTGAAATAGTTACTACAAGAGCCTTGTTTTGAAAAAATATATATATCATTTGACATTATTAGGCCAGCAAGGGTTTAAAATTTGTGTTTTTTTTAATGACAAAGTAGTTTTTTTGTTTTTAAAGTTGATAAGTTTTAAGGTATTTTATTCAATGTATCTATTGGTAAATAAAACTATTATGCAAACAACAATCCATAGGGTCTTTACTTCATTTAAGAAAATCAATTAAAAAAGTTGATACTAAAAACAAAGCAATTGTTTTCTATAAGCAATATAGGGTAGAAGCCTTCCCAGGAAACACGGGCAGTTTTTTGTCATCTATGTCCACTAATAAGTATTTTATTTTAGACAACTTGGTCATAGCTGTTTGCAAGTTTCAAAAAAAAAAAAATTAAATTTAAAAATAATAATTTTAATAATTAAAATTAAATTTAAAAATAAATAAATTAATAAGTTTAAATAATTTGTGTACTGTTTTTATTTTTGTTTCTTTAGGATAGTTGTTATTTTCAGCAACAAAATTGGATAAGGCAAAACAAAAAACTTTTTTTTTTTAACATTAAGGTTTTACAATAAATTGTATAGGCATAAATTGCCCGTCAACTTAGTTATAAATACTTAACAATTACAGAGTTTGTATAACTAATAGAAAATAAAATGTGGATTAGTCATAGAGAAGCCATTCATTTTTCAGATAATTGTCTAGAAGCAGCTTAAACGTTTTTAGGGATAACACGAACAATGTCATTAGGAAGAGAGTTCCATTTATCAATTATTCTTAGAGAAAAAAAGTTCATACATAGATTTAATTGTGAAGAATATTTTTTTAGTTTATATATATGTTATATATATAGCTATCTATTTCAAATAGACTATTGCCATTGTTATGTTTGCACCATTTATAGACATTAATTAAATCTGCACAAAGTAGCCTGTATTTTACACTTGTCATATTTGACGCCAACAATCTTTGCTCATATGGTAGATCATATAATTTTTTGATTTGTTTTGAAGCTTTTCTTAACATATTTTCTATTTGCTGTTTGTTTTTGAGAAGGTTAAAAATTGGTCCACAGTATTCGAGGTAAGAACTAGAGCTGAAACTAGTTTTTTGAAGGATAATAAATCTGGATATGATGTAAATGTTCTTTTTATTATTCCAATTATTTGTGTTGCTTTGTTGACTCAAATAGTTGTGTATTTGGAAAATAATAAGTTCCAATCTATGTGAACACCTAAATCTCATTCGCAATTTGTGAATTTAATGTTTACTCTTATATTTTGTTCTGGATCATGCATATTATAAGTATGGTATTTGTTGTTGTGTCCTCAGTGCATTAAAGAACATTTATCAATGTTAAATTTTATTCCCCATTTTTGAGACCATGTAAGAAGAGCACCAATGTCATATTGTAATTCTTGCGCAGATTGAGTATTAGAACGGAAGATTTTGGTATTGTCAGCAAAAAGAGCAGCTTTTGATTTGATTAGTTTAGAGATATCATTGATATATATGATAAAAAGTAACAGCAAAAGGAAAGAGCCTTGGGGAACTCCACTTTTATAGGCTACCCATTTTGAGTAATTACTATTAACAACAACATTTTGTTTACGGCTTTTAAGAAAGTTTTTAATTCAATATAATATTGATACATTTATATCATAAGCTATAAGTTTAGAAATAACAAATTTATGTGGAACTTTGCAAAAGGCTTTTTCAAAATCGAGATAAATGTTGTCTATGGGAATATTATTATCAAGTGATAATAATATTCCCATATGTCCAATAATTAATTACATTTAAAAGGTTAGTTAAGCAAGAATGATCCAGACGAAATCCATATTGGTGTGGACTTAATAAATTATTGTTAATCAGATCTGATATGATTTTTTATAATTTTTTCAAAGATTTTTATTGAGGTACAAGTTATAATGATAGGTCTAAAATTAAGTGCTTTTGATCTGTCTCCTTTTTGAATATGGGTGTAATTGTTGCATCCTTCGATATTTGGGGTTAAAAATAGCAGATAGATGTTTAGACTTTTGAACACAAGTTTTCTTAAATATAATTGGTTATAATTCATCAGGGCCTGGTCATTTAGATTAGTTTAGACTTTTGAGGTATGTTTTGTTAATTTCTGTACTTAGATCAATATTGTTTGAAAGTGGATTTACATTTTTATATGCTAGGTCAAATGGTGGTATTGCTGTTGTTTTTAAAAGTATTAGTAAAAAAAAAAATTAGAAAAAGTATTAGCAAAATAACTATTGAATAGATGAGCTTTATCTAGATAAGAAGTTGCAACAATATTATTGTATTGGATGTCAGGAAATGTTCCTTTGCTTTTTCTTTTTAATTGGACATACCAGTAAAATGTTTTTGGATTTTGGTCTATGTCTTTAGCAAGTTTTTTTCAAATTCAATAACTTTGAATTTGAAAAAAAAATGGTGCTTTTGATTTGTTTCGTGAAATGTGGTACTCATTAAATGTTTCATCATTTCTGCTCAAAATATATTACAATATTTTGCTCATCTCAGTTTAAGTTCATTGATTATTTGAGAGTCAGTTCATTTTGATCATTTATATTTTTAAAGTTAAATTTTGGTATATTATTGTTGATACTAGTTTTAAGTTTATTGAAAAAGTTATATTCACATACATACATACATACATACATACATACATACATACATACATACATACATACATACATACATACATACATACATACATACATACATACATACATACATACATACATACATACATACATACATACATACATACATACATACATACATACATACATATATATATATATATATATATATATATATATATATATATATATATATATATATATATATATATATATATATATATATATATATATATATATATATATATACACACACACAAAATGGAACTATATAAAATTAATGAAGACCTTGCAAATATTTAATATTTAACTCTGTCCAAAATTTAACTCAGACCAACTATAGAGTATCTTTTTAACAACCTATTTTGAAAATCATATGTAAAATTTCACATACTTGCTTAACCAGAACAGTTGCAATTTGCAAGGAAATATTACATTCTTCGCTCAAAACAACTTGGGCCAAAACTTTTCCAAAAAAACATATTATCTGCAATCTTTTCTCTAATTGTTGTTTAAAAACACTGTACTCTGGTAATTCTAAATATAAGAATATAAAAATTTTTTTCAAAACTTTATAAAAATTTATTAATGACTTAATAACTCAATAACATAAACAACTTGAAAAAAATTTGTTTTTGTAAATCTAAAAAACATTAAAAAGAAAAACCAAATCACATGATGTTACTCATTTATAGTTAGTAGGCTAAGATATATTTATCCAAAATTTTTTAATATGCATTGACTGCATATTACAAATTAATTTAAAATATTAAGTATTAAATTTAGTAGTTAGATATTTTTGACCATGATTAACTGCATGGTCAAAAACATCTAACTACTAAATTTAATACTTAATATTTTAAACATCTGAGTATTAATCTTCAAAATAACCAAAGCATCAAACATCACAACCAAAACACAAACCAAAAAAAGAAACAATTTGTCTTAGTTGTTTAACAAAGTTAGACAACAAAAACTAAGTTGTGTTGTCTAATAAAGTTCTGTTGTCTAACAAAAACTAAAATTTTCTGTTGTCTAACAAAAACTAACTTTTTGAGAAATCTCAAATTCATTTTATTAATTATTCAGTATTAGTACTAATATCTGCAACCATGTATAATTTTTATAATACCAAGATTTGAAATAATGCATACAAAGATTAAAGAATATAGAGATACAATTTAGAGATAATATAAATTTAGAGATAAGAATATAGAGATATAAAAATATATAGATTTAGAGATAAGAATATAGATTTAGAAATAAAAGATATCAAGTTTTGAAAAAAAAGATTTGAAATAAATATCAAAAGATATCAAGATTTGAAAAAAAAAAATATTAAGAGATATATTGTAATGGGCAATATATATATATATATATATATATATATATATATATATATATATATATATATATATATATATATATATATATATATATATATATATATATATATATGTATATATATATATATCCTTATAGGGTAGTCGAAAGAGTCTTTTAATGTAAAAAAAGTCTCTTTCGACTACAATTTTAATTACCTCGTCTCTTAAGCTGTTTTTGATTGTCGTGGAAATGTCAAAGCAATTAAATTAATTCGGAAGTACATTAAGTTTTATTGTTTTTTAAAATTTTTTTAAAAAACCGCAATAATAACGACTAGAAAGTTTTTTTTAATTAGTGGTGTTTTTGTTTTTGTTTTATTAAAAAAACATTTTTAAAACATGCCTAAATGTTGCTACTTCGACTATCTTATAGCCTGCTGCTACAAGGGAGTGTTTCTACATCGACTATCTTATAGCCTGACTCGCAACGGAGTGCTGCTACATCGACTGACAAATAGCCTGACTCGTAACGGAGTGCTGCTACATTGACTGACAAATAGCCTGACTTGCAAGGGAGTGCTGCTACAACGACTGACAAATAGCCTGACTCGCAAGGGAGTGCTGCTATATCGACTGAGGGTTTGGTTTGAACAGGCAGTCTATGATTTTGAAAAAAAAAAAAATTTAATTTTTTAAACTTTTTCTGGTCTGGTTTATTAACGCGCTCTTTAAAACTACAGTTTATGGGAAACTCTTTCTGACTACCATGCAAGAGTATATATATATATATATCGGCCATTACAATCAAGGAGGCTACTTTATTTTAATTACAATCCTCTCTCAACTCTTTAACTCCAAAACAAGAGCCTTGAAGAACAAAGCCGCTGCACAGAGAAATGAAATGAGCACGATGCTGCTAGCAATGTGGTAGAGGTCAAACTCAAAACTCTTGTTTATGAAGCCAGCGCTTTACCACTACATTACTACAACATAATATATATATATATATATATATATATATATATATATATATATATATATATATATATATATATATATATATATATATATATATATATATATACATATATATTGAGCCTTCTTAGGAGATGTGTGCAGTTGCACACCTTATACGACAATGCATACAATGTATTTTTTTGACAACTTAACCATAAATATTTTACATACATTGATAATTTGCATGTTTTAAAAAAATGTCCTGAAAAAACCAAACTAATTTAAAGAGAAAATTAAAAATAAACAAATCATTAACTGAAAAGAGAAACAAACTTAACAAATGATAAAATAAATAAACCCCTATAACATTTAAAGTTACGTAACATCTCAATCGGTTACAATTGGTAACAAGGTTACATTCTGTAATTTTTAATCAAATATTAAGTAAATAAACTTGATAATGCAGTAATAGTTTGTTTACTATTGCTGTAATGCTATATACTATCTTCTATTTTAATTTTATTGTAAAATAGCTTCGTTTCAATTGGTTACTTTGTCACGGAAAAAAAATAAAATGTTAATACACAATGTTACGTCTCAATTACATCAAAATATACTTTTAAAGGTAATAATTACCTTAAATTTATTTTAACTGTAAAAAAAAAGTTTCAATTTGCAAAATTAAGTTACAATTATTTTATTTTAACTTAGGAAAGTTTATGAAATTAAGCAGCCGTGGCGCAGTGGTAGCGCACTTGCCTCAGAAGCGTAAGATCCGTGGTTCAAACCACACCTCTGGGCAAGTTTTGCGACATCGGTTGGGAAAGAGGCGTGAACTTCCTATTAAATGCTCTTCCGCGGTGTCTGTGATAAGACCGTAAGGACTTCTTGGGGCACCTTAATTAACTTAAAAAAAAAAAAAAAAAAAAAAAGTGCAACTTTTAAAAAGTGTAGACTGAAACATAACTTTACGTTAAAAAAGTCTATATTTGAGATGTATTTTAACTACGCCTCATATCTCGATTTTGTTACATTACATTTTTTTTTTGTCAATAATACAAGCATAATACTTTACGCGTTTTTATAAACCCACAAGCAAAAATGTATACAAAATGTCAACCTTTCTTATGAATTAATTTCATTTCACACATTAATTAGCCAATGCCAAATATGTGTAATTCTTTAATTTAGAAGCGTCTTAATTAATAGTTCAAAATTAATTAAATTAATTTCAAAGTTTAATTTAAGTTCAAAGTTAATTTAATAATTTTTCTAAGCACCACATTGATGTAACGGTTGATTAAATGCATCATCTCTGAGGTGCGACTATTATATCAACATTGGATGAGGGTTCAAACCCTGCTAGCTGATAATTTTTTTTTATCTTTTATTTGCACTGTAGGCATTTAAAAATATTAAAGTTTTAAACTTTTAAATAACTAAGTTTTGAAGTAAGCTTGCATTAAATAACTTTGACACTTCGATTTTTTCTAAATTCTTTGTAGTGAAACAATTAAATTAAAACAAATATTAATTTTATGCTTTTATTTTTTCTGGTTTATTTTTTATTCATTTTACCATTTCTTAAGATATTTATTTTTTTAGTTTGGTTTTGTATTTTTTAGTTTTTATTTCTCTTTTCAGTTTATATTTTGTTTATTTATAATTTTAAGTTTACAGTTGTTTATTCAGCGCATTTTTACGGCTTTTTGCAAAACATGCAGGGAGCTGCAGCTAAGTTTTCAAAACAAAGTATTATATGCTTAGTTATATAAAGTGTGCAACCGCACATGTCTCCTAAGAAGGCTTGATATATAAATATGTTTTAAAATTTCATGATGCATCCCTCTTACATTTTTCTTTTTGGCAAAATATGAATGTGCACAAAATTTCAGATCATTTGATGATATTTCTACCCATGCCTAACCCAAATATCTGATTTACCTAATTTTTCTACACTAAAATCATGAAAAAATATTTAATAATGCAGTACAGTTTAATAAAAAGGGAAGATTAAATACATTGTAACTGAACGGTACATATACATACTAATAGTAATAACATTAGTTGTAAAATTACCTTGAAGTTAATTTTATTATATAAATTACATTGTAAATTACATGTAAGTTTATTTAAAAAGGAATTCAACAACTTTTAATTTAAAATTTTAATTTAAAAACTGTTTCATTGTTTGAAATCATTAATTCATCACTCTTCATCATATAAAAATCTTGAATTAATTTTACAGCCCACTCTGACAGGTCATTTACGACCTTCACATGCCACACAAATGTTTCAACTTTTTTGTAATTGGAATCTTTTTGCCACTCAGTAAAAAGTTTATGCACATAGTTGACACTAATTATAAAACTGTAAAATAAGAACCAGAATTTAGGTCCAATATTAAAAGTGCTTTAATTGATTCTTCTGATGATTTACTTCTTATCTTGCTTTCCATGTGCTTTTTTTGAAATAGTTGCTTTTTCCAGAGGAGTTCCAACTTCTTTAAGAGTCGCTCCCGTGAATGCTGTTCATTGAATAGTTGATAGATTATTTTGATGTAATTGGATTAGGTCAAAACGGATTGTACATATATAAGGTTTTTCGGTTCCGGGTACCCGGACTCGGACTCAGCCAGTCTGTGGATAAATACCCGGATTCGATACCCGGTTTAAGACTCGGCGAGTCTCATGATTTGACTCTTCGGTTTTGCCTGTACGCATCGGAATGCCGTCACACTGTATCCCCACCTTTTTTTTAGCTTGAAATTTAGACCACGGCTTTTTTGATGTTTTGAGAACATTCAAGTTTATATATGTTTTCATGTATGTCCGAATAGACACTAACCTCATAAATTTCTAATCAAATCTGTTTATTGTATATGCAATTGTTTTAAAAGCATTCGCTAGAATAAAAACCTTTGATTAGAAAGATTGAAGTTAATAAGTTAATTCATTTAGCACGTATTTAAAAAAAAAACACATTTCATTTGTTAATTAAATAGTTGATTAATATCTCCATTTTAGGAAAAAAGTAGAACATCATTTTATACAGCGCTATTATGCCGAAGAATTCAAAAGTGTGGGACTATTTCACCCAATGTACTGATTTGAAAAGTGGTAAATGCAGTAGGTGTTCAACGATAATATCAAACAAAGATGGAAATACTTCATCAATGATTAAACATTTAAAAGTTAAACATGGAATTTCTTTACCAACATGAGAAGAAATAGGAGAAAATTCCACCAACAAACGATTAAAAACTATGGACACTTTTGTTTCTGTTGCAAGAAAGCCTTTAGAAGAAATTGTTGCTAAATTAGCCACTCTTGATAGTATATCAGTTAGGGCGATTGCAAAGTCTAGCTTTATTTGTGAAAGTTTAATAAAATCAAGTTATAACCTTCCTAAAGCCGAAAGAGATGATTTAGAATTACACTTGATGAATAGACGAGTATGAAAATTCGGAAATATCTAAATATCAATTTGCATGGAATTGACTCTGAAGTGTATAATCTGGGTTTAGTGAGAATTTCTAACTCGTGTACAGCTGTACAGTTAGTTGAAAAAGTAGAACAACATTTAAACACATATAATATTAATTTTAAAAAACATTTAGTTGGTTCAACCGACGACAGTGCAAGTGTAATGATAAAATTTGGACAAGAATCTCCTAGTCTCTATAATTTGTGTTTGAATCATACTATACACTTAGCTGTTTGTGATGTACTATATAAAAAGAAAAATATTGCCGCCTGGCAAAATGAAGATGGTATTGATGGTGATGGTGATGACCATGGTCAAGATGGTATTGATGATAATCAAGATGAAAATTATTATTCTGACAAGAGCGGTGATGACATCAAAGAGTACGAACATGTTGAATTAACAAATTTAGGAAATATAAAAGAAAATATAAAAAGTGTTCGAATAATTGTTAAATATTTTAAAAATTCTTCTGTGTGAAATTATATTTTGCAAGAAAAGGTCAAAATAGTTTTAGGAAATGAACTTCAGCTAGTGTTAGACGTAAGAACTCGTTGGAACTCATTGCTCAAAATGGTATCTAGACTTTTAAAATTATTTTATATAGTTAAAGAAGCTCTTCAGGATATTGGAAGTGTACATTTAATAGAAAATATTAATATTGAATTATTACATGAATTGGAAAATACTCTAAAGCCTATTAAATTAACTGTTGAAGTTCTTAGCAGAGACAATGCTAATATTGCCGCAGCCCAATTAGCAATTGATTTTATGTTAAGAAAAGTAAAAGAATCCAATGGTAACATAAGTAGAGAACTATTAATGACGATGAAAACTCAAATAAATTTTTTTTTTTTTTAAACATCTTCGCTTCCAACAAGGCTGCAAGCAACCACTAATTAGTGTTGGAAGTTACTGGAAAAGAAAAGATGAAGATTGTAGAGCAAGATAATGATTGACAGACGACTTAAAAGATTGCAAATTATATGAATCAGGAAAGCAAGATGAAGGAAGCGAATTCCAAAGAACTGATGTTCGAGGAAAAAAACTAGACGAATAAGAGTTTTTGGAGCACTTAGGAACAGTAACAGAAAATGGATGAGACTTAATTGAATGACGAGTAACACGAGAATGAATTTTAGTAGATGGCACAAGAGACGCTAGCTCTTTAGAGCAGTGCCCATTATAGTATTTGTAGAAAAGAGAAAAAGAAGCAACATCACAACGATGTGACAGAGGTTGGCTGCAAGAGCAGGTCCAACTATATTTACAATGCGTTTTTGCACCTTGTCTAAAAGAGAAAGAGCATCATTAGAAGACCCGCCCCAGATATGGCAACAGTATTCCATACAAGGCCGGATTTGAGATTTATAGAGATAGAGAATAGAATCCAGAGTAAGAAAGTGTTGAGCTCCATAAAGAGAAGCAACTTTAGCATATGCTAATTTTGCAAAGGATTTGATATATGGCTTCCAAGAAAGATCAGAAGTAAGAGTTAATCCTAGAAGATGAAGGGTAGGAGGCTCATCGAGTACATTACCGCTCATAAAAATAGAAAGATCTAAATTATTGCGATAACAATTGTCTGAAAAAAATTGAGTTTTATCTGAATTAAAGTTCACCAGCCACTGTGAGCCCCATGCTGTAGCAGAAGTGAGATCCTTTTCAAGCTCAGATGCCCCCTGCAAGCAATCAGAAGGAGTTGGCTTCTTATTCTGACAAGAATAAATGGTAGTATCATTAGCGAACAATGCCACCTTAGATGTGAGAATACCTGGAAGATTGTTAATGTAAATTAAAAATAGTATAGGGCCAAGGATTGAACCTTGAGGAACCCCTGAGGTTACAGAATAAGAAGACGAGTGCTGTCCATCGAGGAAAACTTTTATATTACGATTGGAAAGGAAGGATTCAATAATCTTAAAGATGTTTCCAGATACACCGTAAGAAAAAAGCTTATGGAGAAGACCAGCATGCCAAACTTTACCAAACGCTTTAGAAATGTCAAGAGCAATGGCCTTAACCTCTTCACCTTTATCTAGTGCGCGATAAAACCTATCGGTTATTACTGATAGCAAAATATTAGAAAGTGTGAAATGTCCAAATTTGCCAAGTTGCAGAGATGAATTTGCTGATATTAAAAAAGAATTTTTATTGTTTTCAAAAACTAAAAAAAGAACTGCATATTTAGAAAAACTGTATCAAGCGTTAATGACGATAAAACCAATGTCAACAAATTCCGAACGAACATTTTCTGTAGCATCTAACTTCTGTACAAGAATTCGTTCTAGATTATCGAACAACTCATTGAGTGCATTAGTTTTTTTAAAGTTTTATTTTTTAAGTAAATAATAATTGCTCTGGTATGTATTAAACACTTATACGTATTTTAATTTAGGTGAGTTCATTATTGCTAGTATATTTGCACGCATTTTATTATAAACTATGTTTGTAAATACTAAAGCAACATTTTTTTAAAGTAATGTCAAGTTTATTTGGTTGTTTAAGATCATAATAAAGGTATAAGCCGGATAACAGTCATTTTATTTCCCATAACATACACCAAATCCATTTTTTAAAATAGGCCTGAGAACAAAAAATCATTTCATGCTATTGTTAAAATTGCGAGTTAAAAAAACGTATTAGACTCGGACTCGAACCCGGATCCGATAAATATTTGTAGGCTAGACTTGGACTCGTCGGGTCTAAAAAAGCCGGGTTTTCCCAAACCCTATACATATATTTAATTAGTAAATAGTTAATTATTCTAAAAAGTGGGAAAAGATAATATGCAATTATGTCTATAATATATTAAAAAACAAACTAAAACTTGTAAAAAACAAAATTAATAAAATTAAAGGCATTTTCTGTAAAATGGTTTTTAATTTTTTATTTTTGTTTGAAACCATTTTCTGTGCTTAAGATCAAACTGCCCACTATTGTTCCTTATAAAGAGTAAAACACTGTGGTTAATTGTTTCTCTATACAGCTGCCTTGTCTATCAAGGCAATATGGTATATATTTTAGCTATTGTTAGTTGCGATTCTGTAAATCTTTTTTCAATGTAGTGCAAAATTTTTTTACATTAATAATTTTACTATAAAATTATATGAAATTCCTTAAACATGGCCTAAAGAATTTAGTTGCAAAATTAAAAAATCAAAGAACACTAGGTTTAATTTTTATAAATAATAATTGTTCGACATAAATTTATTTAATCATTTTATTGATCAATATAAATACCTTTTACTTGGTATAATGAATAGCTGTTAGAAATAGGTCTAAAAAGATTTAAAAAAAAGTATAAATAAGATAAAAAGACTACAAATATAAATATAAGTAATAAAAAACAATATTTTTCACTTTAGTAAATTATAGTAATTTACTTATTTAACTTAATCAAGATGACTGCAAACCAGGTAGATTGGATGCAATAGCCTGTTGAGCACTGGATAAAGATGAAAGATTACAACTATGTGAAAAATGTTGTTAACTACTGTCAAGTTGTGAATGACTGCGCCATGAGAGGTGTAAAATTTATACATGATTTTAAAAATAAAGTCAAGGACCCCTAAAGTATTATTTTTCACTTTAGTAAATTAGAGTAATTTATTAATTTAGGTAATTTTATATTAATTTAATTAATTCAATCATCTAATTATGAGGCTCATATAATAATCATATAATTATAAAACTTGTTAATTTTATCTTTCAAGCTTAAACAACTACATAAATTTTTGTTAAAATTAAATAGTCAAAAGTTTCATTACATTTAGAGTCAGAACGAAAGATGTTCAGAATTTCTAACCATTTCAGTACTTTCAGTACTTCATATTTTTTTTTGAAATAAGCAGATATTTTTATTAGAAATATTAAAGTAGACACATAGCAGTTAATAAAGAAAAAGAATATCGGATGGATAGCCTCGTAAAAGTTTTATTTTCCAAAAAATATGGACCAATCAATCCACCTGACTAAAAACCTCACCAAGCAGTTATTTATTGTGAATGCAGTTGTTTTTCCAATATTACTTGTGGTATTTATTCACACCAGATTCGACAATTTTGTTTGTTTACATAGCCACCTATTTCAAAATAAGCTTCATCACTTAAGATAACTTTGTTAAAAAAATAATTATTTTCTTCTTTTGTTGCAAGAGCCCAACTAACAAATGCACAACATAAACCATGATCGGTTAGCAATAATTGTTATCTTAACTATATTTTGTAAACTTTTAGGTGAAGATCCTTATACAAAATCTTGAATAAAGTGGTTTGTTTTATGTCTAATTGCTGTGAATGATGACGAATTGATGCGTTTGGCTCTTCGCTAACACTTTCATTGACAGCAGCAATATTTTTTAGGAAACAACTACAAACAACTATAAATTTTATTTTTTGATCTTGAATTAAAACAGTTTCCTCAAACTTATTCACAATATTTAGAATGGTGGAGTTTGTTGTACAATTTCTACTTGTATATGTTGTACGAAATTTTTTTCCAACTTCTACATTACTTTCACTAAACTTAAAACAACTTTTAACAATGAAGACATGTTGTTCAATCGTATATTTCTCCATATTTATTAACTGCAATGTTTATACTTGAAAGCTATCAATAAACAAAAACCATTTTAGTACAAAAAATACAAATAGTGCAAATTTAAAAAAGTTAATCAAAATTTGATCACCCTGTAGTTATTCTATTTTTTATTATAAATGACCAATAATTTGTTAAAATTATTTAATATTTTTGTTTTAAAAATTTTTCCTTAACAAGTTATTAGCATTTAGAAAATGGTTACAACTTAAGAAAAATTAGAAGCTAATATAAACTATTACGTACATATAACAGTTGTTGTCTCCTTTATGTAACAGCTTCATTTCAGGAGAAGAAATTTGCTTGACAAAAGACTCAACAAATTCTCTTTTTGGACCAAGACAAGACCCTATGTAAATAAAACTTCAATAAAAAAATTTTTACATGTAAATACTGTTTAACACAATAACAAAAAAATATAAATCAAAAAATAAAAAAAAACCTCACTTAAATCTACATTTTAATTTGAAACTAATTACTTGTCAATAATATTAAAATTCCACACTGATTTGATTTGTAAAAACTAAAAATGTTAGCAAATAAATGAGCAAATGTGCAAAAAACTTTTACCATTTGCTTTTTTCTCATAAAATGTGCTTTCAAAACATTGTACCCTGGATTCTGTATTATAAAATATACAAGAATGTTTATATAGATCAGAATGATTTTGATACACTTGTAAAATATGGTGAACCCAAAAGTCAACATTCTCTCTATTCAAATCATCTTACTTTATAGGGTTATTTGAATGAAATAGGAGAATCAGATCATGTGAACATCATATTGAGTCTTCTGTTCATCATTTTGATGAACAGGGGAATTGCTGTTGTCAAAACTATAAACTTCATCTTTTTGTTATTGAAATTTACTTAACACATATAACATACTTATTTAACACATTTTAACATGCTATGTATTTAAAATGCATGTATTCAATATATATTAAATTCAAATATATTTAAAATATTCAAAAGTACTACTATAAGTACGTATTTAAAAATGTTTATAATTTAATGAAACTCTAAGTTCTTACAATTTTATTATCAGAGAAACAAATAAATAATTTTATTTATTTGTTTCTCTGTGTTTATACTGTGTTTTTTACATGTGTAAAGTATGAAGCTAACACTTATTTTTGTTAAAAATCAAGTTTATTACTATTATTTAACTTTATTTAAAAAGTCACTCCAAAAATAACTGCAAGCAACCACTATTAAGTCGGGAACACAAAAATATTATTAAAAAGCAAGAAAATGACAAAAGATTTGAAAAGTTGCAGGATGAATAAGTTGGGAAAACATGAAGATAGGATAGAATTTCGAAGCATTTTTGTTCCTTGCACATCAATTTGATGTGCAAAGAACAAAAATTAGTAGAATAAAAATTTTTAGAGCATGAAGGGACAGATACAATAAAATAATGCAACTTTGCTAAATGATGAGTCAAACGAGAATGAGTTTTGGTTGATGGAACTAGAGGTGATTCTACAAATACTACTACAAATACATGGTTGCTCCTTTGAGAAGCAACCATGTATTTGTAGTAGTATTTGTAGAAAAGAGAAAAAGATAAAACCTTAAGAAGGTGGGATAGCAGAGTTCTTAACAAAGCCAAAAAAAGCAAAGCAAAGGCTAAGGCCACATGTTCCAAGGTCAAGGCCAAGACCAGAAGTTTCAATTCTAAGAACAAGGCCAAGAGTTTCAAGACCAAGGCCAAGGAGAAGAGTTTCAAGGCCAAGGCTTACGTAAACATTTTCAAGGCTAAAGACTTTAAATTTGGCCTTACGTTAAGGCCAATATATATTTATTATCTTTGATAGTTCAGTGACTGAAATTAAACTATTGCTTATTGGTTCAAAACTGAATTTTATAAATAAAAAATTTAAAAAAACTACATTAAATATACATTACTAACAACTTTTTTAAACAGATTTAGATAAGTTAAATAAAAATAGTATAAAAAAATAAATAAAAAAGTACTTCATAATATTTTCTAATTTAAATATAATAAATACTATTTTAATTCAAAAAACCTTTAAAATTATGTTTTTAATTTAAAAAAATTAAAAATTCATGCGTTTGAATCTTTTTTAAATTTTGAAATGTTTTAACTAATGAAAAGCAGTAAAACAAATCATGTGACTTAATATATAGATGTAATAAATTCCCATTAACCAATCACATCATTGATTCTTGTTTTAAAATGGCTACTCAAAAATGACATAAAACACAAAATTAAGTTTTAAAGCTTTTAAGTAAACAAAAATAACTCTTGTATACAAAATCAACTGTAATTAAATTTAAACACATACAAAAGTTCTGAATTTAATAAGAAGGTGGAAGGCAAAGGCCAAAAAGTTTGAGGCCAAAGCCAATGTTCAAGGCCTAGGCCAACAGTTTCAAGGCCAAGACTAAGGCCAAGGACTAACAACTTTGTAAGACAGTGGCTCAAATTAGGCAGATAGACCAGGTCTAACTACATTTACAATTTTAGACCTTGTCTAGAAGAGAAAAAACATCATTAGAAAAAACATCACAAAAATGACATATATTTTATAAAAGTATTTCATAAATAGTCAAATAGGAAAACAGTATTCCTTACAGAGACAAATATAAGATTTGTTGAAGTAGAGGATGGAATTGAGAGAAAGAAAATGGGGAGCATGAGGAGAGGCAACCTTAGAAGATACTAACATTATAATGGATTGCATATATTGTTTCCATAAGATGTCAGTGGTAAATGATAATCCAAGAAGACAAAATAGAGTACTTATTGAGAGAGTTACCACTCATCAATATAAGATTTCACTAACATTGCAGTAATTGTTTGCAGTAAATAACTGAGTTATGTTAGAATGAAAATTCACTAACCACTTGGTGTAGTAAAGGTGAATTTATATAATTATAGCATCTTTATAAGATTTTTCTAACGACAACATATTTCCATTAAATGATCAGGTCTGTGAATCATGAAAAGACAAAAAAAAAAAAAAAATGATAAATTTTGCTGTAACATAAAATAAAAATGTTTGTAGCAAAAAAAACATAGACTGAAGATTCTTTTATTTTTTAAATCTTCTTAAAATCATGATTGCTTGTACAAGTCTAAATAAGATTTAAATAAAATGAACATCACAGTTTAATAATATGATCTGCTCTGATTGTTTATTTTTCCTTATTATAAATGCTTTCTTGGTTGGAATTCTGATATTTTTTGTGAAAATTGATAGAAATGTCGTGTTTTGACAATTATATTAAATTGATATTTACTAGAACCAATTAGAGCTAGGATCTGTAGTAGATTAAGGTCCTTTTTTCAAAAAATTTTAACTAAAATAAAGTTAACGCTGTTGAGCAGAATTGATCTCAAAAATGGTGTTCTTTAGATTCACTTTTATGGATGATAAAAAAAGTTTTGAAAATTATATCAAAAAGAGAAAAGTTTCTTTAAACATTTTAAAAATTTGATGCAATAAAAATTATAACATCTAAAGCTCTTGTTTGGACATAATACGCTGACAAAATCATGCTAATTTCAAATAAAAGAATTCGAATAATTTATAAATTGCCTTAACTACACCAAGCAGTGACTGGTGAATTTAATTCAAAATCATGGAATAAGTTAATTTAATAAGTTATTTATTTAATTACTTAATAACTTAAAATCACGTAATAATAGTAGCCATTGGAACTGAGATAATGGCAAGAAAGAGTCACTGACTTTTTTTATAAGAAAATTTGAACAAAAATTGTGTGCAAATATCTAAATTGTGTAAACTTCAAATTATGTAATGTTAAAGCATATCAAGTTTTAAAGTTTTACTTTTATTTGAAAATTGCATTGCAGAAATACCTTCTTAATTTATAGCATTTATTTGTTGTTTTTTAAAGTCTTTTGTTTATTAAATAGTGTTAAAACATTTTTGAACAATACGTCTTAGTGGCCCAAGTAATTAACTCGCAGCGTTTCTGAAGTGCATCACCATGGTGATGATATGGTAATCACCATGGTTCAAATCCTTATGCTTGAACATTTGATTTTATTTTCAACTTTTTCAATTTTTTAAAAATATAAAACATTTTAAAAGTTGTATAGATATTATATACACAACATATATAAAGATATTATATATAATAACAACAAAAGATACTTATGTTATTGCACATATGTCATGATATAGATACTTATGTTATTAATGTGTTCAAGTAAATAGTGAACTTTCTTTCTTATAGGAAAAAAGATTTTACATTCAAACTTTTATTTTCTTATATAATTAATTAACGAGGCGAGGGTCCTAATAAGTTGTGGATGGTCTGAAAAAATATCCGAATATATCCTAATATCCGAATCCCTGATATACATATATATATATATATATATATATATATATATATATATATATATATATATATATATATATATATATATATATATATATATATATATATATATATATATATATATATATACATATATATATATATATATATATATATATATATATATATATATATATATATATATATATATATATATATATATATATATATATATATATATATATAATTATTTTTCTACCGCTTACTAAAAAATAATGGAGTAAGAAATATGCATAAAAATAGTCGAAGTGGAATAGACTTACCAAGACCTGTGTTTTACAACTAGTTGTTATTAATGTTAAAAATGGAATCAAATTACTTATAAAATATTTTTATTAAACATGTTACTAAGTACTAAAAAAACATTAAACCAATTTAAAATTTTTTTTAATATTAGATTAAATGAAACTTTGTATTACAATATTGAAACAAAATTGAAATTCTTACAATAAATGCATGAAAAAAATTTTAATGCTAAACTTGTTTTTTTTTTAATGCATGAAGAAAATTTTATTTTGAAAAATAAAAAAAAAAAAGGACAACTATCTTCTGAAAAACAGCTGTTTTTGACTATTGTTAAGAAAAAACAAACTGTTTTTGACTATTGTTAAAACAGTTGTTTTTCTGTTACCGTTAAACAGTATTCATAAACCCTATAAGCCACTTCAAAACACAAGTTGTTACAGATGAGAAATCAAATATGAGATCAGTTGCCTGTTCTAAACAATTAAAAGTAGTGACTTTATCAAGACAGGACTATAAAGTTGAGTTGTCTGCAAATTTAGAGCCACTTTAGGTTTAAGATTATCAAAAAGATCATTAAATTAGATATGAAACAGTACAGGACTAAGGATGCTGTAAAAACAAAATACAAAAAAACAAAAAAAAAAACTAACTTTGTGGTAGTCATTGAACTTCAAGAATGTTTTTCAAAATAGTCTTCAAGGGTGACTTTAATACTGCTGTTAAAAATAAATGATTTAATCATCTTCCAATTTTTTCCAGATTCACCATATGTAGCAAGCTTATGGAGAAAAACAGCATGCCAAACTCTATTGAAAGCTTTTTATATGTCAAAAGCTTTTAATTTATCGTCAATTTAAGGCGGAAAGGCAAGAGCTTGCTGCCTCGAATTTTGAATTTGATCATTTTTTATCAGAGAAAAAGTTATTAGACGCGAGATAAGAAATTTGTCGATTTTAAGACCTTGAAAATAATAGATAAAAAACTGATTAGGTTTTTAGTTAAAAGAGTCAGAGTGTTTTCCAGAGTTTTTATAAATTACAACCACAGTGACCATTTTCCAGCAGATAGGAAAACAAGAGAGTAGTAAAGACAGTTCTGTGACTATGACAAGATTGTTGTTTGGACCACAAGCTGTAGAAGAGTTTAAATGAAAATTACTTTAGCTCAAGAAGCTGCTGTGATTGATATAAAATAAATTTAGGTTTACCCACAGCTACTGTGTTTTGCCAGATTAATAACAAGAAAAACACTTGCTCAACTTAGTTGGATGTCTAACGTTATGTTAACCTGTTTAACTGGATTGTCAGAAAGAGTACAACCATTCAATTCAAATTCGCCATTACAATTTTAGATTAAATGCCACAAATATTCTTGCCACAAATATTCTTGCAATATTTAGTTTATATTTATTGTTTAAGTATGCAATTGAATTTTTGAATGTAGCTCAAACATTTTAAGAATAAAAAAAGTCATTGATTATAAATTGTACAAAAAATTTTAAGTTTGAAATATAATACTAATATATATGAGCGTTAAAAATTATTATTGATAAATTCACAATAAATTGTTTTAAATATTAGTAAAATTGAAAATAAAAATTTAAAACTTGGAAACATCTAATTTTGATGGTCTTGATAATTAGGGGTAACAAATCATGGGCTAACCTTACCTATTAGGTGATCCACTTACCCCATAGTTCTTATTTTTCAATTACTGGACAAAGTCTTTGTATTTTAATTCAATAAGTTTTATTTTTTCTAGACAGTTTGTTCAATATTTCTAAACAGGTTGTTCAATTTTTTTAAATATTGATATTATGTGTTTTATCCCATAATACTGTTTTTTTATTGAAATTGAGCCTTTATGGAATGTTTAAAACTTTCCAATAGTTCTACTTTATTTTTTTACCTTTTATACTGTTTATTACGTGGTAATTGGTGTGTAGAACACAAAGAATCCAATAAAACTTAAATAAAAATTTCATTTTTTCACAAAATTTAGCATTACTTCCTCCTCCCAACCAGTGTTTACATTTTTAAATAATTAAAGATTTCATTTTCTATAATTTGAGTAGTTTTTTTTTTTTTTGTTTCTTTAGCTAGAGTAAAATGAAGTAAAGACTTCCCACTAAACGGACAAGCAGCAAAATAGTCTATCTGATCTATCTACATCTAAAAATAGTATGCATTCAGTGATCTTTGTATGGAAATAGACATTAAACTGATTATCAATTTCATTTATTTTCAACTATTAGATATACTTAAAAAAGAGAAAATTCAAAAATATAATTAATTTGAGGGACTGGTTCCTACTGTTTTTGATAAAAAGTTTAGTACTTAAAAAAAAAAAAATTTAAATGTTCTTTAGCAAACTTCAGTAAGGATTTAAAAAAGCCATTGAAAACCAAAAAAATGGCCAAAAAAAGTTTAAAAGTTTTTTTCTTTTAATAATGATGAAATTTAGTTTGTTAATTAACTAGCTTAGTTTTCCTGAGTAATGTCATGCATTTTAGCTTGATTGTTATTAAACACTGGTATGTGCTTGATGACACATAAGCATTAGATCTAATTAAAATCCCTTTGTATGGTTTCTTAAAAAAAAAATCTCTATAGAAAGAATCAACTCTCAAAGCCTATTTGTTTGCTTGTATTGAATGTTATAAAGAGTTACTTAGACTGAACAAATATGAATTGTCATATTATTAATTTCAAGAACAAAGTGCAACTTTGGAAGCCTGAAAAAATATTAGATTATTTGTGAAACTGCACTGTACTTCCAATAAATAAAAAATACAAAAGAAAATTTTAATTTTTTATAACAAACAGAGCAATTTAGTGTTAAATAATTAAAATGGCTTAATAATTAAGTTTAGAGAGTCTTTAGTCCTCTATATGCTCTCTAAACTTTATAGAGATCAACTATTATTCTGTTTTTATTTTTTATAAAGATTAAGCATCTACTCCAGGTGCAGTAGCTACAACTGCAGTTGTTCCAACACCATACCTAATACAATTTTAGATGCCAATGTAATATTAGAAATATTTTCAGAATTTTAATATAATTTAATTTTAAACATTGAATTTAAACTTTGAATAGAAAAATGTCATTTTCATAATAGTTGAACTCTTTGTAATTTTCATGTTTATCATGAGTTTCTACTTCTTCTTATGTTGTTGTTTTTTTTTACTCTTTTCAAACTTTTTGACTTCATCAAAACAGACTCAAGTACTCAAATTTAAACAAACTAACAGTTTCAATCATTTTTTCTTTTTTCTTTTTTTTAAATTCTTTTTCATATTCATATATTATTACATTTTTATTTTGTAACCTCTAATATCAACTGGTTTATTATTTGGCATTTTTGTCTCCCAAGAAAACATAAATTTAATGTGGAAATTAGGTTTACAGCCTCATGGCTGTAAACCTATGTAAACATGGCATGAGGACAACATTGCTCAGAACAGAAATAATATGCAAATACAATCCACCAAATTAAATAAATTCAAAAATGAAATTATTATCATTTTTTTAAACATTTTTACTTTCACAAAGTTTATATCAAACTCAAGTTTATAAAGCAACGACAATATATATATAATAATATAAATATATTAATATTAATAATAAAAATAATATAAATATATATATATATATATATATATATATATATATATATATATATATATATATATATATATATATATATATTTAAAATAACGATTAACTTAAAAGATTGCAAATTATATGAATCAAGAAAACAAGATGAAGGGAGCGAATTCCAAAGAACTGATGTTCAAGGAAAAAACTAGAAAAACAAGAATTTTTGGAGCACTTAGGAACAGTCACAATAAAATGATAAGTTATTGAAGGACTAGTAACTCCAGAATGAATTTCAGTAGATGGCACAAGAGATGCTAGCTATTTGAGCATTGCTGATTATAGTATTTTCATAATTCATTTGTAGCTTTACTTGCTCAATTTTTAAAAACAAAACCTTTAGAAATAGTCTTAGTCCATGCATCTTTAAGCCTGGCTAACAAACTATGTTTTAAACTAAATTCAAGAGCTTCAAATAGAACATCTTAGCATTCTTTTATATTTATATATATCCCTGCATTAAATATCATACTGATAAAACCTTTTTTAAAGGCATCAATACTGCTTAAGTATGTGCATATATATTCTGATTAATCATCTCATTTGTAAACTAGTTTTTTTCGCTTATTTTGTGATTTTGCAAACTGCTCAAGAAGAAATTCGTCAAATAAAAATAAAAAATTATTTTAGACTACACCCTTTAACTTGTATAAAAAAAAAAGACTAAAAAAATCTCATAAAATCTAACTATAAAAGCTTAAAACATATGCAGACTTACCCATTTCACCTTTAAACTGAATACTCATGTTAAAAAGAGAGAAATACTCTGGAAGTTGACTCATTGCTGATTCAACTATGTTGTTGCGATCTATTACCAAAACTGAATGATATTGATTCAATAACAAGTCTGTTCTAAAAATAACAAGTCTGTTCTAAAAATACCAAAAAAAAAAAACTTTTTTAAATGCTGTAAAAGATAAATCTTTTAAAAAAATAAAAAGATAAAAAAAAAAGAGAATTATTTTACTTAAATTCCAAACCACCAATACATGTTGTGTCCATATTAATGAGAATGATATAAAATTATTTGAGCTAAATTTTTTGAATAAAACAAAAAAATAAAGGCATACCAAGAAAACGAACTTTTTTTATTTTAGTCGAAGCTTGCCTTTTCCATTTTGTTGTAGGCCAAATTATCTTCATAATATATGCTGCAATCTACAGATTTGATAACTTATTCAAGCGTGTTTTATTCATAAGAGGTTTAGTACATGACATCATTGATTTTTTTTATTAGTTTAAAAAATCAACTTTTTATTTCTTGGTATGCAGTTATTCTTTTGTTTTATTCAAAAAAATTTAGCCAAATTTTTTTTTATCGTTCTCTTTAATATGAATACAACATGTTTCGGGGGTTTGGGATCTTTTGAAAGGTCTATAAATTGTTAGGTTGAAAAAAATCAAGAAAAATAAAATACTCACAATAATAATACTCACAAAATAAATAAAAATACTCACAAGTTAGGAGTTACTAGAAAGTAAATAGTAAAAAAAAAAGAAAAATTTGACAAAAAATTTAAGAAACTGGAATATTTATAACTCAGGAAAATATAAAGAAGAATTCCAAAACACAAAGATCAATTGTTAAAGAAAATACACTAAAAATAAAAGGAAAAAAAGATACAGTGTAACGATGCAACTTTGATAAATGATGAATCACAAGATACTGCCATTTAGTTAGTGGAATAAGAAATATAGATATATATACAATACCTCACTTGTGCAGCAACCATGGTAGTATTTATAGAAAAGAGAAAGAGATGCAACCATACAACAATGTAGTAAAAGTTTAAGCATGTTAGCAGATACATTTGATTTATAACAAGTTTTTAGGCCTTGTCTAAAAAAAAAGTATGCTGTTAGAAGAACTAGCCTAAATATAACAACAGTAAAAAATAATAAAAAGACAGAAATTAAAAGTTAAAAGCGAAAGTAGGAGTAAGACAATGGCTACATAAAAGAAAGCACGATGAAGAGAGGTAACCTTAGCAGATGCTGACTTTGCAATGAATTGTATATATATTTTTCAATAAAGGTCAGAAGTGAAGAATAATCCAAAAAGAAGTAAAATAGAGGACTCAGTGAGAGCGCCTCAATTTATATATATTAGAATAGCAACAATATTGGAAAAGTTAGCTGCAACGATATTGCAATAAATTAACTAACAATTAAAAACTAATTACTCATGTTGCAATGGTCATAACTGTGTTTTGTTTAGGATGAAATTTACTAGCCACTCCAGTCACACAAGAGAAATCACATTCAAATTTAGCTGTTGTCCTGAGCAACCAAAAAGTGATGACTTGTTAAAACTGGAGTATATAATTAAAATAAATAATAATAAAATACCATAAATAGCGATTTCACAGCGCTACGAAAAACATTTGATGCTTGACCAAAAACACTAAATTTTCATAAATTTTACTCTCTTATATCTTTTTATATGATTAAGCAATCATCCTGGGGTTTTTTGCATCAGTTAGTGTTACTCAACCTCTTTCCAGCCATATATAAAAAGTACTATGCCTCATTTGGCTTCACTTAAATATTATCAATATCTTGAGACAACTTTTGCTAAAAAAAATTGCAGCAGACACATTTTTTAAAAAGTCGCTTTTAAAGTAAGTAATAAAACACATCCAATTTGCATGAAAATTTCCATATAGATTAAAAAAAGGATGAGGAATCAAATGAAATGGAAACCTTTTTTCAAATTTATACAAAAATTTTTAGTTCTTAACGTTTAAAAACTTTGAGGTCGATTTAGTTAAAAAAAAACTTTTTTTAAAAAGGTTCCCTTTTTAGAAACTTAAATATTAGCTAAATTATTTAGCTAATATTTAAAGAGACTACCAAGTCCCAAGACATGTTGTGTTCATATTAAAGAGAACGTTAAAAAAAAACGTCTGAGCAAATTTTTTTTGATTAAAACTAATTAATAAATGCATACCTAGAAAAATAAATCTTGTTGTTTTAGTCGAAGCTCATCTTCTCCATTTTCTGCGGTATTTTGAGTATGTAAAATAAACGCGATTTTCCAGGCGCATTATACAGACTTGATAATTTATTCAAGCGCGTTTAATTCATAGGAGTTTTAGAGCATGACATCATAGATTTTTTTGTTTGTTTGTTTAAAACACCAATTGTTATTTTTTACATACAATTTCCAAATCATATTCATTTTTAAAAATTTTAAAATATAATAAAACTTTAAAATATAATAAAATTTTATTATATTTTAAAGTTCTACAATGTGTTTGTAAAAAAATTAAAAACAAAATAGTATTTTATTTGCGCAACTTTTATTAAATAATCGTCTAGACCACATGTATTTTGAATTCTTTTGTTATAAGTTTTTTTTTATTAGATAAAATAATTTTTAACCTAAATAATAATGCACTTTTATTAATTTACTTTGTAAATATTAAAAAAAAATTATTAACGCATTGTTTCTCTGATTTTCAAAAATGTATTTTTTGGTATTGAGGTGATCTAATTTCATTATTTATTATAACATCCAATATATATTATGGCGGGGGCTTAATATATATTGGATGTTATAATAATTTCCATTATTATAACATCTAATATATATTATGGCGGGGGCTTAAAAATAAAAAAATTAATATATATTAATTTTTATTTTACAGACATACATGGAAACATAATTAACTGGAATGTTCTTAAAACATCTTGCGGAAGAATAAAAAGAATATATGCGAACAAACTAATTCTATTAATTCAAAAAATAGGCTGACTAAGCAAAATAAAGTTCTAGAGTATTCTGTTGAAATGTTTTAGGAATTGTATTATTTACGATTTGTTGCGTTATGAGATATCTAGTATAAATTGTTTTTAGAATATATTATCAAATTCTATAATGAGATATCTTATATAAATTATGAGATATCTTATATAAGTTATGAGATATCTTGTATAAATTGTTTTTAGAATATATTATCAAATGAACTATTACTTTAATATTATGGCTCATTCTCGGAGCCACATCTCTCGGAGCCACATCTCTCGGAGCCACATCTCTCGGAGCCATCTGTAAAGCCGTAAATCTTTTAAACTATTACCATTTGTTCACAAAAATAAATGTTTTATAATATATATGTTTTAAATTATCAAAATTTTGAAAGTTAATTACAAATACATTTAGCTAATATTCAAGTTTCTAATTAAGTAAAAAAAAAAAAAACATCATTAAATTTCATATATGTTTATTGTCAACATCAAAAAAAACATCATCAAATTTTATATATGTTTGTTGTCAACATTGTTGACAACAAACAATGATGATGAGAACAAAGATTGATGGAAAAAAACAAAGATTTTTATACCATTTAAAGCAGTTATATATTATTTTCATAAAAAGAACCGTCCTATTTAGCTAATATTTAAGTGATAATTTTATGGCTGTGAATAAGAAATAATCCTTATTAAGGATTATTTCTTATTCACACCCTTAAATTATTTCTTATTCACATTCTTAAATTAAGCCTTAATAAGGATGTGAATGTAAAAAAATCCTTATGATAAAATAAGGATTATTTTTTATTCACACCTTTAAGATTGAATTTAAGGATGTGAATAAGAAATAATTTAAGGATGTAAATAAGAAATAATCCTTAATAAGAATTATTTTTTATTCACACCCTTAAGATTGAATTTAAGGATGTGAATAAGAAATAGTTTAAGGATGTAAATAAGAAGTTTTTTTATTTTGAATAATAAACAAAAATAATGGAAAAAACTTTTTAATAAAGTTTAATAAGGAAATATAAGGATTAATTTAAGGATGTGAATAATTAATTTTAGGACCTTAAATTATTTATTCACACCCTTAGATTAATTTTTATATATAGACTTATTAATCCTTATTAAGGCTTAAGAATTAATAAGATATATAAGGACAATAAGAATAAATTTCATTTTCAATTTTATATTTAGAATTCGAATAAGGACCTTATTCGAATTCTAAATATGAAATTAAAAGTGAAATTTTTAAAATTCTTTTAATAAATTAAAAATAAATCATCTAAATTTTTTAGAGACAATCTCTGGATTGTTTATCAAAACTGTAAGTTTGGTTATAGGCTAGAATCTATCTATTCAATAGACTATTGTGACTACAGATTGGCTTTCTTTAAACTTTTTTTTTCAAAACAAAAAATGAAAAATCATATCAACCTCAAAAGGTTCAAAAATGACCAAAAATTGAATTGTGTAAGAACTTTCAGTTATAGTACAACTTTGAATTACTTAAGCCTACTTCCCTTACTTTTTAACATAACCACAAATATTTTATATCTAAATACTTTTATTGATCGAAACCAAACTTTATTGATCCATCCCTTATTTTCTTTGATTTGAGTTACTTTAATTTAGGTTTACTTTTAACTTTGCTACCTAATTATTGTTGGAAAAAATATATTAGAATTTTTAAATATTAGAGGTATAGAAGTTTGAGTAACAGAGCTTGAAAAAATATCATTAGCAGTTTTCAAGTTTAAATTAGAAAATAAACTTTTAGAAGCAGAAACATCTTCTTGAACAAATTCTCTAGAATTTGTTCCAGAAGATGTTTGGCTAGGAGTATGGATAGAAAAATTAACAGAAGGTAGCAACTCAAAAACATTGTTAAATCATGTGAGATTGATTTTTTATTTTAACTATTTGTATTTCCAACAAGGCTGGGAGCAACCACTTTTAGAGTTACTGGTAGACTTTTAGAGTTACTGGTGAAAGATTATAACGATTAACAGATGACAATATAGATTGCAAATTATATGAATCAGGAAAACAAGATGAATGGAGAGTATTAAAAAAAAAACTGTTTTTTATTTTATTATTATATTACC